CCTCTCACACTCACAACTCCTTACACACGGTCTCTTGCCAATTGTGCCATTTTATTCATTCAAAATAAAGTGGCAATAGAAACTATGTAAAGGTAGGACAAATTTGGGGTGCAACAATGGCATAATAAAGTTTTAGATCAATAAAATTGTGTGGTCATAGATCTTTGTTTTTAGCATTGGTTTTACACAAAGGTATTTTGACACCATTTCAATAACTTGCAACTTGGAGATCACTTTTTGACTCAGTGAGAATTTGAGCTTTATCTTTGGACATAATCCATGAACAATGTATTTGGAACATGTGCACATCTTTCATTGATCTTAAATGTCTCTGTTTTGATCCATGAAACTCAAAATGCATCTCAAAGCTTCCAATTGCATTTTCATTCATGTTTCTCTGTGTGTGCATGATTTCATAAAATGAATTGCACCATCCTCTTCCTCATGAAAAAACAAGCAGTTTTGGTTTAAATTTCATTGAATTTGGTTAAGATTTGAAGAAGTTAGAATCGAATCGTTTTTTGCCATTTTGACTCGTCTTGCCTTGGTTTGGCCCAGAAGAACACGCCCCTTTGGTACATGTATTAATGGGGATGACTTGATACAACGGATGTATCGACACCCCAGTGGTTGCTTGCCTTGCCTTTAAGAACCTTGTCATGCCTTGAACCTGAGTTTGACCCCTAGCAGGGGGGTTTTTAAAATTTCTTCTTTCTTTTCCATTCTATTGTCACACGCATGGAGTTGGTTGAGTTGGTTTAGTTTCAAGTCTGCAACCCCAAGGCCTTGGGTGAGACATTTCTTTTTTTTTGCAACTTGTGTTGTTTATTTTATTTTTCATCTTTTTTTATTTTAATTTTCTCTTCTTTTATTTATTTATTTAAAAAATAGTTTTAAATACCATAAAATTCCAAAAAAATCATTTTCTCATATTTTAATGTGTTAAATTATTTTTCATTTTTTTTTATTTTAATTTTCTCTTCTTTTATTTATTTATTTAAAAAATAGTTTTAAATACCATAAAAATCAAAAAAATCATTTTCTAATACTTTATTATGTTAATTTATTTTTTCTTTATTTTTATTTCATTTTCATTTTATTTTGAATTAACAAATTAATATGCTTTGTGGCTAATCACCTGTTCAAGTCAATTTCTTTTCTTTCTCATTTCATTTGTGAGTGAATTATTTAGTCTTTACTTGGCCTTGTGCCATGATCCCCCTAGGATTCCTAGTCCCTCCGTTCAGGATGGGAGTAGGAGAGACATTAGGTGTTCAATCCTATGCATGACAATATTAGGGTAGTTCTTCCCTTTCATCCCAACTTTAGGAGCATTGTGTATGACAACTTTAGGGTCAGGTTTCCCCTTAGTTTGTGTCTTTCTCTTCTCATCTCCTAAACACTTCAAAACACTTAATAAAGAATAATTTGTGTTGTACGCTACGAGCCTTAAGTAATTGAGGAATGATTTGTCTAGAGTGTTTAGTGTATGCCTTTTGGGTGATATGCGACACATTCGCTCTCAAGTCATAGTCTTTAGTGCGACACGAATTTCAAACCAAACTCAATTCACTTCTTGTCTTAAAAAACACAAAAACAAAAACATCAAATCTTTTTATCCTTCAGGATTAATTTGGAAAACCTTTTTCATAAGGAGAGTGTTGTTAAGCTTTGGTTCTACCGCAAACAGACATCGTCCCTAACTGCTAGAACGGAGATTTAACCCTACTCGGGTAAAACATTTTGAACCAACCTGTGGTCGTGTCAGCCGGAACTATGTTTGCTCTGATTTCTCGTACCAGACGAGGATACATAGGCACAAGACGACGATGTCTTAGCGAGCAACCTTCTCCACTTTCACCCGTAGTTTTCTGAACTACGTTGACTCTGACTTTCCCATTGCACGAGGGAATACGTAGGCATAAAGCGGCGATGCTCTATCGAGTCTCTTTTCTTTTCTCTTGTCCTTGAGCCGTAGCTTAGATAGTAAACACCTTTTTAGATAGACAACAAAGCATGGATCCCGTCGAGTACGACGGACGTGAGGGGTACTAATACCTTCCCCTTGCGTAACCGACTCCCGAACCCGAGATATGGTTGCGATGACCCGTCTTTTCCCATTTTCGTTAGGTTTTCTCTGATCGTTTCCTTTCCCTCTTTTGGGATAAATAACGAATGATGGCGACTCTTCTGTCTTTGTCGGGCCCCTCTTTGCAGCGATGCGACAGTCGTGAAGAGGGCCTTCTCTGATGGAGCCCTAATTCTCACAACCATGGATGGAGCAGAGTTACCACGACCAGTGAACTTCGACGCAATCAAAAAATACAATGCCTAGAAAAAGAGGATAAAAAGTCCGCTAAGTCCAAAACCCAAAAGGTCAACTTAGGAAAAAGTTAGGGTGTCGCGGTGGCTTGAAAACTTGAATGAGCAATCCAAGAAAAAATTAGGCACTTATACATAAAAAAGTAAAACCCAATAAGTCGAAAATCCTAAAGGGCGGCTTAATCAAAAAAAGGTATATCATCTCGGTGGACTAAGACTAAAAAAAAAGCGGTCCAGAAAAAAATTAGGAATATAAAAAAGGCATATAATTGTAAGCACTCAAGCCATACTACAACAGGAACTCAGACGGGAGCCATTAATCCAGCCATCATCTTTAGAAATGAAGTACCGCGACCTCGAATACTTAGGGATAATAGCATGTGTTGAATCCAATAGGAACATGAACAAATCTATTTTCTATTGACATTTTACGTATTTCTAGATTTTCGGTAATCTCCCCTTATGGGAATTACTTCTTTATGTACTATCGCCCATTTACGGGCCAAATTTCTCAATAAATAATGTTGTTTTTCGAATCTAATTCTTTGTTTTTCAATTTTACGCTTGATTATGAAGTGTCAATTATTTGTGAATAATGCATTGAAACATCGGGCATAATAAAAAGCTTTTGAAAACATTTTTTACTTCGATTTCTAAACATTAAAGGGATCATATTCTTCCAACATTTCCCCCCAAGCAAGGCGCAGGGTCCATAAAATAGTCACAATTTAACCAGCATGAAAGTTTCTTCCTTTCAATATCACATTCCCAGATATCAAGAGCATTATGGCTCATTCCATGGCTACATCATAGTCCAGAAAGGTTGGAGAGTTGAACCATTACGAAAACACCAATTCTCACAAAGTCACACATTGCATGCACATATCATAAAAGAGGTGTTAGCCCAAATAATGTGTCATGCATAAAAACATACATCGATTCAAAACATGCATACATCACATAGGATTTTTTACCATTCTTAGAGGTCCAATCCCCATTTATACCAGTACAATTCCTAAGTATGAGTGTTTATTGGCCTTTCTCAGTAAGTAACACTCACACAAACGCCTTTTCAATAAAGGACTTCCCCAGCAAGCTCATTCACCACGAGTCCCTCAATTTTATAACGTTTCAAGTTAATCATTTAATTGTTCAAACAGCGTCATGTTAGTCTTTTTCGTTTGTTCCGTTAGTCAAAGTTAACGGAGAAAACATCTGGCACTGATGTGGCATATACTCTTCATCAAAATGATCAAAATTCAACAAAAATTTACAAACAAGACATATTACCATTGGGGCATTCTTCACTTTTTGATTAAGTTTACAAATTAAATATACATTAATTCTTTCTCTTTCCTGGATTTCTTCAAACCTCAACATAAGATCAAACTCAGTTACAACACTGCTTGGTTGATGAAAAGGGTAACGTGAAATGAAAATCTTATAATTGGTTTTACAAATGAAAATCACATAATCCAAGTAAATTCCAAGTAAAATAGTAAATTCATATTCATTTATCTATTGAATTCACTAACCAACGCAACACACTGAAATAAAAAAGATTTTACAAAAATTAAGATGCATTATTGAACTTTCAGCTCTAAAGGTCTTTCAACAGTATTTCCTAAAAGATAATTCTTGAACTTGGTCCTCACAAATGTCGCACCTTTTCCTGGTTTATCATGAGAAAACTCTAAAAATAAAACAATGTGAAACCCAATTTAACATTAATACCTACTTTAATATCATTACTAGATACTACAGATATCTCTAGAAAAAAACACTAGAAAATTTTAAAAGGTTAGTCGGTGAAAGGATAACGTGAAATGAAAATAATACAATTTGAATTTTTGTTAGCTGCATTCTTTTACACATTCTCATATATCTTGTGATTCCTAATTTAAAATTATAATCCTAATTTAAAGTTTGTAGTTTGAGAAAAAGAAAAATCATTTAGAGAAGACAAAAATTTAACAAAAAAATAAATATAAATATATATTTTATTTGTAAATTAAATTATCAAAAGGTGAATTAATTTAATAGTAATCTTATGTTGCATAACAAACAATGAATCATTGGTTCGAAATTTAGCTCGACCAATAAAAGGATCAATTTTAAAAAATTTAAAAGACAAAAAAGATATTTTTGTCTAAAATTAACTTAGTAAAAGAGAAATAAATTAACTTTTTGTAACTCAATAAAATTCACAAAAATAACATCATTGGAAATTGTGAATATTAACATTCTAACCATCGTTAACAACTAACTATAATTGTCTTAAAAATATATATATATATATATATATATATATATATATATATATATATATATATATATATATATATATATATATATATATATATATATATATATATATATATATATATATATATATATATATATATATATATAAATAAAATTAAATCAGTCATCAATTTCCAACCTACCTTTTTGTCTTTTATCAATGAAAAAACAAAAAGCAAAATAAAATAAAATAAAATAAAATATTCAAATAATCAAAAGAAAAAAGAAAAATTATTATTATTATTATCACATACAAATACAAAAATACAAAATTACAAATCAATCTTCAATCCTTTGATTAAGAAATGCAAAAGATTCTTCTTCACTGAAACTTTCTTACAAATATAAAAAAGAACTGGTAATGCTTCAGAACGATGTCGTTTAAACCCTTTCTCAACAACAAAATCCCAAACCCTAATTTCCCTTCTCCGCCATTGAAGACCTGGCTCAACTCCAACATGGTCCTCGCCATGCAGCTTAACTCCCTCACTGACCCCAATTCCAAAACCCTAATCCCCAATTTCGACTTAACACTTCTTCTCTCCGACGAAATTCTCCTCAAAATCATCTCCAAACTTCCGAATTCTCAAAGCAAATCGAACTCACTTGTTTCAAAACGGTGGTTGAATCTCCAAGGAAGATTAATTCGTTCGTTGAAAATCTTCGATTTGAATTTCGTTTTATCAGGTAGGTTAATTCATAGATTCCCTAATCTTACTCATGTTGACTTGGTTCCTGCGACTTTCGTTGTTTATCCTCAAAAAGGTGCCGTTTTGGTTAGTCACCGTGTAGTTTCAATGCGGGTTGACACTGGGTGGTGTTTTGGGTTTAACAAGGAAGGGAAAAGTTTGTTACCGGTTGAAGCAATTGATAAGGGGCTCAAAGAGGTTGCGAAAGGGTGTCCGAATTTACGGAAGTTGGAGGTAACGGGTGGGAGTGAAGAGGGTTTGGTTAGTATTGGGGAAGAGTGTGTTACATTGATGGAACTGGAGTTGCATAAATGTAACGATAATGTTTTGCGTGGGGTTGCGGCGTGTAGGAATTTACAAGTTGTGAAGTTGATTGGGAGTGTTGATGGGTTTTATGGATCGGTGGTTTCGGATATTGGGTTGACTATTTTGGCACAAGGGTGTAAGAGGTTGGTGAAATTGGAGCTTGTTGGCTGTGAAGGTAGTTTCGATGGGATTAAAGCGATTGGGTCGTGTTGTTTGATGTTGGAAGAATTGGTTTTTGTTGATCATAGAATGGATGATGGGTGGTTAGCGGGTGTTTCGTTTTGTGAGAATTTGAAGACTTTGAGGTTTGTGTCATGTAAGGTGATTGATGGTAATCCTGGATTGGAGGAACATTTAGGGTTTTGTGTTGCACTTGAAAGTTTGCATTTTCAGAAATGTCAGCTGAGGAACAAGAATACGACGGGAGCTGTTTTTTCAGTTTGTAGGACTGCTAAGGAGGTTGTTCTTCAAGATTGTTGGGGGTTGGATGACGGTGTTCTCCGTTTGGCTGTTGTTTGCAGGTAAATTTGAATGTTATTTGAAGTTTTGAATTGGTTAGTAATGTTGTTGATGTTGAGATTTATAAAATTGTTTGATAGCTTCAGCAATGTTGGCGATTTAGCATGTATTTGTTTATCGTTTGACGGTGAAAAAAAACACTTACTTCGAGACACTGAGATATTTTGTTCCTTTTGCTAACAACAAACACGATTGTTGTCAATCAAAGTCGTCTTAAGTTTTTGGAGGCTCTGTGTAGGTTAGTCACAACTCAACCATGACAACAATTAGAGGTCCTATTTAATCACGTTTTAATAGTGACAGATTTTATGACACCCTATTTAGACAGGGTTTAACCGTAAAAAAATTTATGCCCCGGGCGATATTCCGCTTTGCACTTCCTCAAAAATGGCCTTGATGTCAATGCATCTTTAGTCATTAGATCATGATTGGACAAATTGTAATCCGAATTTTGTATTTTTGAAATCCGAATGGGAATATGAATTGCCTGATTTTGATCTGAAGTAAAGGTATGCTCACTGCAGTGACTATATTTTGACTGCAGTCAACCTAGATTCCTACGAAACTCCATCGATATTTTCGGATCAAATATATAATTGCAGTTATCCAAAATGTAATCCAAACTTGGTATGAGAAACAAACATGCCCCTTAGTTTGCTAGTGCAAAGAGAAACTGATAAGTAATTTCTGTTACTAATCACTCTATATTAATGTTTGTTGTTGCTCGGTTTCATTTTCAGGCGGGTAAAACTGTTTGACATAGAAGGATGCTCATTGCTTACAACAGAAGGTTTAGAGTCGGTCATTGAATCATGGACTGATCTCGAGTGCCTTAGAGTCGTCTCTTGTAAAAACATAAAAGACAGCGATATCTCTCCTGCACTCGCAACCTTATTTACGACTCTCAAAGAGTTGAAATGGAGGCCAGATACAAAACATCTTCTGCCATCTAAGGAGGTAAACATGGGAAAAAAAGGCGGTAAATTTTTCAAATGAAAACGATCCTTGAACTAGCTATATACTGTCAGAATCTAAACACAGAAACAGAAACTCAATAACACAGTGACAAACTTGTAACATTATGTAATCATGTAGTTAGTTTATATGGTTAATTAGATACATTGACCATTGATGAAGCTTAGATTTGTTAGATTATATGTTATATGCTTCATGTAGAAATGTAATCCAACAGGATTAGTTGTTATACTCTTCATATTAGAGATGTAATTATGTTTATTTAGCTTAATCTAATTCACTTCATGTTGAAAATGGGTGTTACCGTTGTCTTCTGTATATGGTCCATTTGAATACCATAAGCTTAGGGTATAGGAAGTTCTCTTAATAAAATATTTTTACACTGTCAATCAATTACAAACATATATCTCCACTGTTGACGGGAGATATATGTTTTCTAATTTTAATCTCTAAAAGTATTTTCTATCTCCTCTAAAAAAGATTGATAGCTTGAAATTTTAATTATTTATTTTTTAATGATATTTTCTAATTAATGTTATATAAGTTGATTTTAAGATATTATTCTTTGTTTTTTATTTAAGATAATAGAATTACACAAATATTTTTTCTTTTGTAGAAATACTTTAATAGTTAATTTAAATAATTGGAAAAAAATTATTATTTTTTGTTTACTTATTATTATTTTTGGATATTTAGAAGATAATTTTCTTATGCTAATACACCATTTTATTTTATATGATTAAGTGGGTTTAATTTTGCGATGAAAATGTTGATTTTGAATGAATTGATTCTATAAAATTGATTTTGCGATGAAAATGTTGATTTTGAATGAATTGATTTTATAAAATTGATTTGCAATGGAAAATTTTTTTTTAAAATGAATTGATTTTATAAAATTGATTGTGTCTCAAAGTGAATTGAAGATAAATTAATTTATGTTTAAATTTAACTAGAACTCCTATATTTTAAGGCTAATAAGTTTCAATACTATTTAAACTTCATTTCAGAACACTTAATTTACTCTTTTTTTTAATAAACTTAACTTCTTTAAAGAAAAAATTAAACCAATCTTGTTACTAATAACCAATATTAAACATTATTCATGACCTCCAAATAATCGTTTTTTAAAATAATAATGTTTAAAAAGGGGATAGTATACAATGCACGATTTTTTTTTACTATTACAATTATCTGCTTATAACAATATTAAGTTATATAATGCTACCCACTTAGAGTTCTCCATCATAAAATGATGCTACTATTACTTATTGACTAAGCTTATTCATAAATCATAGCTATTAACCTATTCTCGTTAACACCTATATGAATTAAATTCTAAGATTTGTATGGTACAAGGATCTAAACCTTGCCCTAACGTCTAAGTAAACTACGAAGATGTTAATTAGTCATCCGAGTAAGTTTGCTTATTCATAAGCATTACCAATTCTTAAAAATAAGTTATTCTTGATAATCCTTTCTTTACCATTTCTAATTTTAAATATTAATCTAGGGAGGTGTTAAGGCACTTAATCTAGGATTTTTATGTCTAAAAAAAGCATTTAAAAAAAATTACACGGTCTCAACTCACCAAATTATTAACTTCATGATCATATGAGAATTCTCATGCTATCATGATTTGATTCACAAGACTTGATGAATCGATTCACAAGACCAAAATAGTTCCTAAAATGATTGGAAACAATTTTAAATTTTCATAAATTGATTATCCATGTGAAATTTCTAAATTTTAGGGTTTATAGCACCAATAGTCTTCGTGCGCGCCTAGGGTCACTCTCCACTCTTGTCAGCCCGAAGTCGTCGCTAATTCGTCTTCAAACCGCATCATACAAGAAGAGATGTCCATGTGCCCACCTACTTCTTTATTCGTTGGTCACTCCCCACTCTTGTCAGCCCGAAGTCATCGCTAATTCGTTTTCAAACCACATCATACAAGAAGAGATGTCCACGTGCCCAGCTACTTCTTTATTTGTCGATCACTCCCCACTCTTGTCAGCCCAAAGTTGTTGCTAATTCGTCTTCAAACCACATCATACAAGAAGAGATGTTCACGTGCCTACCTACTTCTTTATTCGTCGCTAATTCGTCTTCAGGTCACTCCCCACTCTTGTCAGTCCAAAGTCGTCGCTAATTCGTCTTCAAACCGATGTTCATGTGCCTACCTACTTCTTTATTCGCCGCTAATTCATCTTCAGGTCACTCTCCACTCTTGTCAGTCCGAAGTCGTCGCTAATTCGTCTTCAAACGACATCATACAAGGAGACATGTTCACGTGCCTACCTACTTCTTTATTCGTCGCTAATTCATCTTCAAACCACATCATACAAGAAGACATGTTTACGTGCCTACCTACTTCTTTATTCGTCGCTAATTCGTCTTCATACTACTTCTTTGTTCATCGTTAATTCGTCTTCAAACCACATCATACGGAAAGAGATGTGTAATACCTTAAATAATGTATTAGAATAACATTTAAAGCATTCCTTCTTATACGAGATACATTAAATTAATAAGTCTTTTTAATTTACATTCAAATCTTGGGAAGAGATAAAATCTAAATGAATTCTTTAATTTGAACTACCAATTCTCTGTTTAGCCAAATCTTGGGTCCTATTTATTCATTTAATATAGTCTTAACAGAATGTTCATGTCCGGACAAATAGTTACTTACAGTGTTATTACAATGTCAAATATGTATCCCCTTAATTCCAGTTAGGATCCTATATAAGACACTTCCACTAGATGAACCCCATTGTTTTAACACATGACCGAGCTCATATATCATGCCCTAGTTTTTCTTTTATTACTTACAACCATTTGTTTTTAACATTATTAAGTTAAACAATTATTACATATTTGAAAAAATAATTATTATTGTTAAACAGATTTCCAATGTTCTTCCTCACTCCAAGTGACACCTCCTCTTTTCTTAAACCGTGCCTCTCGCATTCCCTAGCATTGATCTTCTTCTTCAATTTGTCCTAAAGACATGAATATTCTACAAACACAACTTCTAAATGCTCAATCTTCTTCCTGCAAGCATGAAATGTTATGATCGAATCGTAACTCCTCTACAGAGAAGCAAGTATATGTTTGTCTCAATGAGGAACCTGTGCATCAAAACGCCATTGGCTAATGATCGCAAACTATAGTCTTCTTTATTATCATTTGAACTTAGTTGCTAATATGTGCCTGCTTTAGAATGCGACTATTAATTATTGTAGTATGTGAAGCTCCCGGCCCATTCGATATCAGAACCTTCACTGTACAGAAAAAGGGGGTGCATAGGCCATTTGGTATTCAGTTTTGTAACTAATAAAACAGCACAACTACAAAAACACCTCAGACAGAGAATCGTCTCATTATGCTTTCTGTTCTCTTTCTTCTTCTCTGATTCAACCTGGCAGTAGCATTAGGTGAAGTGTTACAAAATTTTGCCAAATTGTTAAATGAAACAAAAAACTAAAGCAATAATTGTACTGTTGAGACAAGGGACCGAGCAAATCATGAAAATAAAGCAGGTCAGACAAAACATGTAGTCCTCAATGACCCGATAAAGTCAAAGCTCAATCACAGGCCCCGAAAAGCCCCTCAAATGCAGATGCAGATAAAGAAGTGTAACCTGAATTTTTAATAAAACGTTTCGCAATATTGTTATGACGACAAATAGAATGACATTCTCAATTGTTAAAAATTACTACAACTTATTGCTGAAGTGTTAACATTCAACATTTCACAGCTTATAGGGATATAACCATAAAGATACAACTAAACCAAATAACCCATTCATCCGGACCAAAGAAGTTACTAACATAAAGTATACAACACAAAACTAAATTAAACATGGGTATAAAATTAAGTTAAGGCATAAAAAAAGTCTCAACTCAAAAGTACCTCATGTGAACCAATAGTAGCTCATCTCCTATATGGCTTCAAATGATAATTTTGAAACTCTGAACCAAATGTGATGGACTCTTGATCAAGCCTCTTCTTCAATCTCCGCCAAGTCCTCAACATATCAGACTGAATGAGACCCCTATAAAGTTTCTCAAATGTAACTTTTTGAGGAAGAAACCCCTTCTCTATCATCTCAACAAAATACTGGCAAGCCTCCCTCCACTTCTTCCTCTCACACAACCCATGTATCAAAACCGTATAAGAATCCAAATCTGGTCCAACCCCACTCTCTATCATATCACTCCACATCTCCTTAACAACTCCAATCATATCCGCCTTCAAAAACATAGCAATCAAAACACCATATGTATGCGTCGTCGGCTCGCACAACCCATCATCCTTCATCTTCTTAAAAAACTTCAAAGCCTTATCAGCATCCTTCCTCCCTCTATACTCTTTAAAAAAACAATTATACGTCGCAGCACAAGGACTCACTCCATTCCTCACCATCTCATCAATCAAATCCTCAGCTTCTTCAATCCTCCCACACGAACAAAGACACTTAATAACCGAAGTATAAGTCACCACATTCGGACAAATCCCTTTCTCCCTCATCAATCCCAATTTATCCAAAACCAACTGCGGCTTATGCGCCCTACTATAAACATGAAGAACAATCGAAAAACTAGTCACATCCGGTTCAATCCCACTCTCACGCATTTCATCAAACACCTTCTCCGCATCCCTCACTGTCCTCTCAAACCTCTCCTCCGGATGCAAACTCGCCTTCCTACAAATCCCATTCAATATAACATTATAAGTAACAACATTCGGCTCAACCCCCTTCACCTTCATCTCGTTCAAAAACGATAATGCTGTTTTAAATCGACTAATCTTACACCAACCATATATCAAAACAGTATACATTTTCACATCCGGTGTAAACCTGTTGTGATTCTTGTTAAACAAATCACAAGCGAGTTTAACATGACCATATTTACAAAGCGTGTCGAGCAAGAAAGTGAAGTGTTCGGAGGTTAATTTGGCATCGGTGAAGGGTTCGATTTCGAAGAAACAGCGAATGGCTTGACGGGTTAGGTTAGCGGAGATGAGGCGTTTGATGAGGATGAAGAATGTGGTTGGTGATGGGGGGAGATTGTTTTGGTCCATTTCAACGATGAGCTGTGAAGCGAGGTCGAATTGATGAACTTTGGAGACGATATCGATTAGGAGATTGTAGGAGGAATGTGAGAGAGGTGGATTTGGGAGAGATTTGGAGAAATTGTGGAGGGAGAGTGCGATTTTGGAGTTGTGTTTGAGGAGGGTTAGGGTTAGGGTTAGGAGATTTGGGGTTAGGGTTATGCCGTTGAGTTGGAGGGAGGATTCTGATGAGTGGAAGGGGTTGTGGTGGTTGAGGAGGATATTGGAGATTAATTCGGCGTCGTTTTGGGTGGAGGGTGGTGGTGGGGTGGAGGAGAAGAGGCGGAAGAGGTGTGTGGGGGTGTAGTTGCGATTGAGGGGTGTGGGTTTGAGAAGAAACGCCATGGAGTTGTGGTGTGACAAAGAGCATGATGAAGAAGGACATGGGGAAGTTAAGGAGGGAAATAAAATGAGTAAAAAATTAAAATAAATTAAATAATTAAGAATATTATTGAAACATTGGGTTGATTGCTATGCGGTTTGAGGGTTTTAACTAGGGCTGACAATAAAGCGAACCAATTCGAAAATAGTTCAGAATTCGATTCGACAATTAAATCGTTGAACTAGGTTTATGAACCAAATTGAGTTAAGTATGAGCGAAAAATTAAGCTAAACTTGAACTATACATAGTTCGACTCGTTAGGTTCATGAGTCAACTCGATTACATATGAGAAGAATTATACTGTCTTTAAGATTAGGTTTAAATATTTATTTCAAATCTTAGACAAATTTAATCTTCAATTTAGTAGTTTTTGAATTAGACTCTCAAATGTATCTCTTGAAAGTTGTGTAGGTTTTGAATCAGTAGATTTCGAAGATAAAGTTAAATTTCAATATGATAACTTTTATTTTATTTTAAAAATATATATTTATTTAAAATGTCAAATATACTGAAAAATATATATATTTAAAAAAATAATTTTTAAGTCCGTGAATCATGTGAGTTGAACCTAATGAGATGAACCTAACGAGTTGAACCGAACTGTTCGTGAACTTGTAACGAGTCGAGTTTGAGCTTAAAAAAAAGTTTGTGTCGAACTCGAACTCGAACAATTCTTAACGAGTCGAGCCGAGCTGAGGTGAGTTCGACTCGACTCATTTCCAGCCCTAATTTTAACCATAAAAAATTATCCAAATTATAAGAGAAAATAACATGTGATTTTGTTTGGTTCGGTTCTCTTTTAAAAATAAAATAAAATCAAATTAATACGGTTTAGATTGGTTCGATTTTTAATAAAAATTTTATTGAGACATGCATACACATATAGAGAAGAACATAACATTATTTTCCGTCGTTCATAAATTATAAAATAACATCAAAATTCATTATATTTAGACAAAATCTTCTCATTTAATTTACAAAAATCAAACTAAACAAAAATGAAATAAAAAATAAAAAATAGTAGCATAAAATAATATCAAAAATATTATAATAAAAGACAAAAAAAGAGATGAGATGAGAGATTAAAGAAGAAGAAAAAGAAAGAACATAAAAAATTCGAGATTAGAGAAGAAAATGCGATCAAATATAATTAGAAGAGAAAATTATAACATATAAAAAAAAAAGATTAAAAAAAAAGAATATAAGAGATGAGAGAATATAATAGATGAGGCAAGACGTACATGACAAAAAGGATGAAAAGAATGTGCAATACTACTATAAGAAATTTGAAAAGATTGAAACTGAAATCTTAAGTGTGAGTAAGAAAAAATCATTTTGTAATTGTAAGATTAAGGTATAATAGGTTTTGATTTTAGGTTGGATATGAGATAAGTGAAGTTTGGGTTGTAATATAATGTGTTTTGATTTGGTTTAGTTCGGTTTGTAAAATACAAATTGTAAACCGAACCAGAATGTGTGGTTTAATTTAAAAAAATGACTCAAACACATCCGAATAAAATACGATTTTTTACAATTTCAATTTGATCTGATTTAGTTTGTAACTTTTTATTAGTTTGATTCGGGTTTGAATACATATGTCTAAATAAAAGATTATGTTTTAAAAGATATCAAAATTTATTAAATAAAGTAGCTTCTTTTTTTAAACTTATATGCATTTTTATTTTGAAAATTTAATGTCATTTTTGTTTTCTTTTCAAAAACTTCTATCTATTTTTATTTTGAAATCTTAATGTTATTTTTGTTGTTTTCTAACACTTTGAATCATTGATGTTGTTTTTGTTGCTTCTTGACATTTTTGAAGAAAATAAGAAATTCAAAATTGTAGAAAATAGAGTTAGTTGCTCTCTACCACTTTTAAAAGGACATGAATTTTCTCATTGTTTACATCAAGAGACTTAAAATGTTTAATTCTTTTCTTTGTATTTGATAATATTTTGTATTAATTTTTAGTACTTAGGAAAGATTACATTTTGTTAAATTTTTTAAAATTAATTTTTGTTACCTTTCTTAAAATTTAGAAGAAAGTCACGTTTCTTAGTATGTAACTAGCAACCTCAACATCAAGCTAAGTATTGAATATAAAAATAGACTAAATGGTGTATAAATATATAAACACCTATTAAATAATTAGAATATATAACATAAACTTTTAAGCAAACTATTATTTCAGACTTTTAAAAGAGTTATGTCAACCTTTAAAAAAAAACTTTGATAAATATTATTTGAAACTTAAACTTTAAAAATTCAAAATAAGTTAAGCTTTAAACCATCTAAAATAAGAGATTTTAATAGCTCTTTTACCATAGTGTAGGTATGTGTACTCACTCAATTTAAATTTACTCATAGTACTACAATCTATTTATAATGCAATATATATATATATATATATATATATATATATATATATATATATATATATATATATATATATATATATATATATATATATATATATATATATATATATATATATATATATATATATATATATATATATATATATATATATATATATATATATATTACAAAATTATAATGTAAATTATAGTGTCTATGCAATCACTAAAGATGGAAAATTGTATTTGTACATGTTTAGGGTGATCATTATCTATTAGAATATTTATAGTTTTTATTTGCTAGTGTATAGAGGAACATTGAAGTTGTAAATTACATGTATCTTCTTACCTTGTAAAACTACCACAAGAAAGCTACCACAACCTTACCTTGTAAAACTATTATATTGTATAAGAATTTCCATCTTGAATAGGCTTTGAAATTATTTTTGAATTCATTTCTCACCTGCAAATTTGATAAGTATAAGAATTTTCATCCTTTTAGACAAACCATTACCTTGTATAAGAATTTTCGTGTCAAACCAAAAAGCATGAAATCACATCAAATCTTGTCACAAATTTTATATCATTAGGGGTGTGCATGAATTATAAATCAAACCAAATTATATATATGGTTTGGTTTAGATCTTAAAATTATTTATATAAAATTAATTTATTTTTTTAAAACCGATTTATAAGTGGATTAGTTCGGTTTCAAACCGGTTTTAAAAAAAAATAATTTTTTTAAAAATCAGTTTTAAACTGGTTTCTCTCAAAACCAGTTTTTTATTTTTTTTAAAGAAATCAGTTTTAAAACCAATTTTTTTTTTAAATCAATTTTATTGCAAACTATCAAATAATTGATAAACCACCTGAAACTTATTATACTTTAAACTTATTGCAAACTATCAAATAATTGATATAAATCAATTAATCAATTTTATTCTAATTTTACATTGAATTAAATCAACACCTCGTATATCTTAAACTTTAAACTACTCAATGTAAAACTGGAATTAGAATAATTCCTTTTCATCGTAAATTAAACCAATTAATCGAGAAGTAAGTTGAATTGATATAAATCAATTAATCGTGAAACTTATTCTACTTTAAACTTATTGCAAACTATCTACCTTAAATTTATTCTACTTTAAACCAAATCAATTTTATTGCAAACTAGGGGTGTTGATCTTGATTTTCTCAAACTATTCTACTTTTGTTTTTGAAGCTTATTGAAAAATGGTTATCGAATCTCAATCCGATTTGAAACAAATGGTTACCGTTTTTTTTTATTTGATAAATGGGCCACCAAATTTAAAATATAAATTTGGACTGGATTTTAAAATTTGGATTAATTTGAATCGGAATTTGGTTTATGGTTATTGGTTATTTTGCACACCCCTAATCATTATAGTGTAATACCAAAAAGCATGAAATAGACCTATGTAGACAAGCCATTATATTGTAATACCAAATGTGGAAAACTATAAAATCAGGGACTTGAAAAGTTGACAAACCATTTTGAAACAAACATATTTTTGAAACCAAGACCCTGTGAAACCATGACACTGTAACGTAAACAAATCCATATTGAAACAAACACAATAGAACCATTAGACTACAAAATTATTTTGGAAGCTACTTCAAAATCTAAACATTTCATTAAACCATGAAACCATTAAGAAGAACACATTTTTCTAAGAATGAGTCATTTGTTGATCTTTATTGACAAAAAAAAACAGTAATAGTTAATCAAGTTCCTACCTTTTCCTAAAGTAATAGACCATTGTTCAAATGGATGGCAGAGTACTCAATGTGCCTGAGTTGGTTCTTGAGATTGAAATTGTCATTAGGTTTCTCTAACCCTCAAGCACTTTTTGAGATGAAGGAGAAAAAAATGGATGAAACTGAAAAATAGAGCGATGCCATTACAATCAACGATACAAAGTAATATTGACATACTTTACGGATTGCAAAGAAGAAGATGAAATATGAGATGTATAAAGCGAAGAAGAAAATGTGAAACCATTAAAAATTATAAAGATCAGTGGTTAACATATTTTGGAGAAACGGAGACGATGAAGAAAGGGGGTTGTCGGCAGCCGTGTAGGATTTTTTTAGAGAAAAGAGAGATGAGATAAAAGTGTGAAACAATGGGAAGGAAGAGAGTTTTGAATTTGAAAGAGAGAGAAAAGTGAAAACGCGAGAAAGAGAGAGAAAAGTGAAAAATGAAAGAGCAAGAGAGAGAAAAGTGAAAAAATGTGAGAAAGTTTAGTCATTAGACCAATGTTTGTCTGACGCGTGGAAGCAAAAGAGTAAGATTGAAGTGAATTAATGTTGTCTTTTGTTATTTACTAATTCAACCTTTTTGTCGTGTAAAATGTTTTGATTTAAATGGCATATTTGAAAAACCATTCAATTGTTTAGTATTAGATAGATAATAGATTTGAAAATAAAAAATTAAAAAATAATCATAAATTTATACATAATATTACTCTCACTAAACGTTTTAGCTCCATCTCTGTCGTTCTATCCTCTCTCTCTCTTTTTTTTTTTTTTAATTTTAACAATTTAGTGGGGATTATTAATCACCCATAAATATAACCTTG